CTGAGCCCGCGATTCATTAGGCCATACCAGTTACGTGGTAGAGTAGGATCTGTTGCCTACCGGTTTGCCTTGTCTCTGAACTTGATCAACACCCACGATGTGTTTTACGTGTCTCAACTTTGCAAGTTTGTAGCGGATCCTTCTCACGTGGTGCAACCGGATGTTGTGGAGGTTCGGGAGAACTTGAAAACTCCCGTCGGACCACTCAAATTTCTTGATCGTGGCGATAAGCAGCTGAGGAGTGAGATCATTTCGATGGTCAGAGTACGTTGAACGGGAACCTCCAGCGGCAGGAGGCCGAAGATTAGCTGATTTATTTGTTGTTATGTTGATTATGTTGGATGCTGGATTATCCCTGTTTCAATTTGTTATTAGCTTGTTTTGATTATTGTTGCTGCTGTTGAGACTATGTTGGGCTTTGTTGCCTTATTTCGTGAGCATGGGGATTGTCTATGCCACACCGTTTGACTTTGTCTTAGTTGATACAACAATTGTATCAGGATTATGTCCGGACTACGTGTTGTAGATCCGTGACTTAGATACTCACTTATTTATGTATAAGGTATTTCAGTTAGCTTTCTCTTGCAATTTACATACAGACGATGTTCTTATGAAAATGATTAAGTAATCAACTTGGCTAAGTATAATGATGTCATAATTGAAAAGAAAAAAGATATTCCGCATTTTTAATTAAGCGTGGCTTAATACGATGACATGTTAGCAAACCGGGTATACACGAGGTGTTACATATTGCATGTCTCAAATTTTGAATATGAATAACTGGATAAAGCCCTTGGAATAGAACGAGTATCACATTGAGAATCTGTGATAGGGATCACGATCATGAGGGCTCAATGACACCACACGTCTATTGCCAGAAATATATTCCTAGTCTAGAGATACGGACAATGGGCATTGGTGATCTCGGGTAAGACTAGCACGACTCAACTACTTGCATGAAGATGCAAGGTAGAGTCCTCGTGAGCTACATACATGGATGTTTTAGCTGACTCGTGGGTGGACCTATTGGAGAATAGCTCGCACTGAACTGATCCCCATAGAGACACTACAAGGAAATTTCACAGATAGTATCAATAGGTAATGTCTCTTATTATTTGGGTGTGTCATTCCTCAGACCTGACGTTGTCATATAGACCTGTGCTCTGGAAGGCTTGCTTTGATTGTATACTTGGTCTGTATGAAACATGGAGAATCGTAGGTATACTCTTGGACATGCCTTAAAGACTCAGGGCTAGTTTGATAAGCTAAAGGAATTCGTCAATCTCTGTGAGAGATTAGGTTATCCATAGACTGGTGAAACGAAGATGACATTTACGGGACTCGAGAATCTATGCATAGCAAAGGAGTCATGAGATGGCCCGACCTTTAGAGTCTGTAAATGATGATTCCCTGTTTCGACAAAAGTAAACCCTAAACCGCAGGGGTTGATACATTTTCCTTGACCTAGGTCAATGAGACGGATAAACGAGACGAAAAGACAATTCACACGGTAACCATAGGTATAACAGGTTGTTGATCATTCGATGAACTCAACTAGCTCTACGACAACAAAGCATTTCTAGTGCTCTGTGTTGTCATTAGATGGATTAAGCCTACTTGACCCAATCTCATTTATGTTAGTGGCTATGTTGGGCTTGATAGGTCGCGCACAACACCTTATTAAGTTGTCTTGAATTCTAGCATATGTGGTTTGGGCCCAATAATGGATAATGGGCCTAAGTTTGAAAGCCCACATATTGGGCCAAGAGAGGGTAGGTGGCATCATGGGCCAAGTTGGACTTGATCCATGATGTAATCTAATTAATTTTAATGTTAAATTAATAAATTTAATTTGAATTTTAATTTTGAATTTTGAATTTAACTAATTTGAATCCTAATTTTGAATTTATTTTATATTCTAATTTTGAATTTCAAATTAAAAATTTGAATTTAATTATAGTTATTGAATTAGATTTAATGATAATGGAGAAAATAAAGGAAACCAATCAATTAGGTTGATTGACCAGAATTAAGGAAACCAATCAATTAAATTAATTGGTTAAAATTAGAGAAACCAATCAATTAGATAAAATTAAGGAAATTACCCAATAAGAATGGGATTTGATGAGGGCGCTGATTTGACCCGGTTTTAGGTTAATGAGGCGCCACATATATATAACCCCTTTTCTTCATTAGTTTCATAACTCTTCTTCTCTAATTTTCTCCACCGTGATCCTAGCCAACACACATATCAGTGGGCGACTCTCTCTCTTGGAATAACCAAAGGCACCACCCAATCTTTGTTCTTCTCTTGAGTCTAGCAACCTCCATGGAAGGACATTGGGCATTCGAAGAAGGTGATGTGGATTTCCATCAGAGGACTTGTGTTCTTCAAGTCTGAAGAATTGATCAAGAACGCATCTGATCAGGGTAATATTTATCCGAATAAAGGTATCGACTTTAAAACCCCTAACATGTCTATTGCATCATTCATGGTTGAACATGATTGATGATCGAGGATGGGTAAAGGTTGATTCTTCCGCATAATTTTTTTTTTTTTTTAATTTTTCCCTCCTCCCTACAAAAGGCAACTCTCAGTATGCTTGTCTGTTTATAGAAATATGGGTCTATCCCTATGTATCTTTTCTTTCCAAGTAGGTTTTGTTCATAAATTCTCTATATTCGGAAGGAAAGTTTACATATAGAATTGGATGGCAGAAAATTAGTCTTGAACAACTTTCTGTGTATGTAGTTGTTTTTCATGTCCCGAGTGATGATTTAGTCCAAAGATCTAGAAATAAAAGCTAAAAAATACTAAGGGAAGGAAAAGAGCGGTTAGATTTTTGTATTTTGTCCTTTTCTTCTGCATTTAAACTGGTGAGCCTCTCTACCTTGTACTTACATGTTTCTTCTTTCTTGTATTCTCACTTTTTAGCTCATGATATGTTTTTTTTCTTTTGAAAGTACAACTACTTTTTTAGCCTCAATTCTAGTAACAGATTCTTACTATGGAGTACAAGGTGTAACACAAAATCCCCAGATGAGTTGTTTTTTCTTGTCTTTATAACAAAGTAGAATGTTGCTTGGGACACCCTCCTAAGCATTAAGCGAATTTTTTAAAAATTTTTTGTTGTTGCTTTTTTTCCCAATTCTCCCTCTTCATTCCAGGACAGGTGTACACAGGAAAAATGATGCTTTTGAAACATTTGAGTAGAATGAGAGATTTCTGCACATTTTCTCATAAGAATGTGAAAGTCTCCATCAGAACAGAGATTGGGGTGATTGAATAACTATATTGCCCCTGAGATATCTAGGAATTGACAAAGACTCCCCCATGTGTATCTGATTTTGAATTGGACAGTGACTGATATTTTAGGTTCATGAATTTTTTCTTTGTAAAATAATTGGCATGTCTGAAGGGTAATTAGGTAATGAAAATGGAATCACTCAGTGAGGTATACTTCGACAGCTAGAATGAAAAGGATAGATCATAGAATGTGTCCATATTTATCAACAGAGTTGAAAAATCTTATGAAATGGGTTTTGCTAATTATTATGGTTTACAATTTAAGGTTCTGGTTGGAATTTCTATCTGGTAAAAACAAGGTCAATTTACTTGAAAGCTGTAACAGATATTTCTTACAAGAGAAGTCCGGCTACGTGTGCGAAGCCAAAACGCTGTCTATGTTTTATAATACGTATTAAGAATACTAACACACAGGATTCTAAAATTAGATTACTAGAAAAATAAATCAAATTTTAATTTGAAATAGAATAATGGGTAGGAAAAAGAGAGGCAGTACGGTAGTTACTATGGATAAGAAATACACGTATAGTCCTTGAGTGGCAAGAAGAAGTCCTTATCAAAGGGGGAACATGAAGCAAAACAACCAAAATTTAACTATACAATTAAGTTATCTTAACATTGCATAGAAACTCTAGACCCATCTTTTACCTCTTCTTTTTTTGGTCAAGTAATATAAAAGGGTTATCCTCTAATTAATATAATTAATACTCATTCATGTCACTTTTTTGAGGTGCAACAAACTTTTAACAAGAACTACTGATTAATAGTCTTCAAAGTACTGCAACTTAATTACAATTATGGTCATTGAGCAGTAAATTCTGCTGGTTAAAAGTGAAAGTATTTGTACTTAACTGCTCAAAGTCATAAAATCTTGTATGTCATGTTTCATGTTGATAATGAGAGCCTTAATCCCCAAAGTATGACAATGATAAAATTATGCTATGAAAAGAAAAATGAGCATTGCTTTGTTAGGAGGGTGTACATTGTTTGCTTCAGAAGTATGCCAATAAGTGGTTAGGTCCCCTAATGAAACTCATGCAAAGAATGTAACCTACACACAACTATTAAACAATTTTAAAATTAACAAACAACTGTCAAGCGTGCAACACTTTTGCCATTAAAATAAAATCCAATAGGTAGCATTGTCCTCTCTCTCTCTCTCACAAAACACGTGAATTTGAAGTTTAAAACATAGTGAGGAAAAGAGAGAGAGAGTATTATGTGAAGTGGAAGCAAAATTGTTTCTGTTTCATACAATAAAAGTTGATGATTACCTTGTGAGTGAAGTAAAACGTATCGAAAAAGACAAGAATTGAGTCAAAGACAAGAAGACCAACCATCCTTCTCTGTTCTCTCTGATCACTCTCTCTCTTTCTCTTGGTTATGGAGGTCCCCCTCCAATCCGTTTTCCACTCTACCTATCAACCAACAAACACAATCCCTTTTCTTTCTCTCTCTATCTCTAAAACATATTCATATTGTAAGCAAACCCCACAACCATCACTATCATCATTACCATTCCCACCCCATGAAGCCTTCTATCTGTCTCTTAAAAACATCATTCACCCTATATAGCTTTCTCATAGATCTCTATCACAACCCACTTAAAAACAAGAAAGAAAGGCCTCAAAGGCTGCATATTCATATCTCTCATACACACCCATCACCACTATACTCTGTAGGTGCCTGGCAAATGAGGAAACCTGATCTCATGGGCAAAGACCAAATGAACAACAACAACAACATCATTAAGAGTAAGCTAAGGAAGGGTTTGTGGTCACCTGAGGAAGATGAGAAACTAATAAGGTACATGATAACTAAGGGACAAGGATGTTGGAGTGACATTGCTAGAAATGCTGGTCTACAGAGATGTGGTAAAAGTTGCCGTCTTCGTTGGATTAATTACTTGAGACCTGATCTAAAGCGTGGTGCATTCTCACCCCAAGAGGAAGAACTCATCATTCATTTGCACTCTATTCTTGGCAACAGGTACCTTTTCTCTCTTACTTTTTCACCTCAAGAGATTATTCTCCTTCCTTGCATTGCCATAGTTCATACATTATCAAGTTTAACGTTACTATTGAGTTTTGATATATGAAATACTAATGCTCACTAAGAAGATTGAATTTTCCACTCAAAGACAAAATGGGTTGACAATAATGTCTTCTATAAAGAAGATAAACAAATAGATGCAATGCCATTGGAGATTGATTTAACTTGTACTGGGTATAGGGAGACTCCTAACCATGAGAAATTAAAATACCATTAATATGCATACTAATTTAAAGAGTTCCTAAAATGTCACCCAAGATGAAAACTGTGATAATTTGCATTAATTGCTTTTAGTACATTTTGTTTTACGATAAGTCCCTCAGAATCAGTACAGCTAGACTTTGCCAGAAATCCAAAAATAAAATAAAATCTGATTTTAAAATATCTTTTAATGGCAATATAAATAAATATATTTTTTAGATAGATATAGTTAAATCATTGAAGATCCACCACTTAATAACTTGAGTTGTTGGATTAAATTGGTTGGTTTACTGGTGTGTCAGAGAAATATAAAAAATTATTGAAAGGTCTTGACTGTTGTTTATCAATATTGATGCATTTTACCGCTTTGAAACTTTTAATGATTTTTAAATCTATTTTGAGCTCTTGATTTTCCAGCCACATGTTCAGTTTACAGAAAGTTTAGTTTATTACTAAATAGAATTATCCGGACTGAACTATTTTTTCTCCCTTAGTTGATTTACCTTGGACAGCTTATAATTTTGAGTTCTTAAGATTTGTTCACATATAGAATGATTTGGCAAGTTTTGTTTGGAAATTGAACTGAACATATGGTTTAAACAAAACTCAGTACTTAACTATATAAAATGACGTAGCCTAAAAGTATGTCAGGGTTTTTGCCTTACCTATCAAGGTTATCTTTCCAGTTAAGGATGGCCTAACCCATAATACATTGACTATTCACTAGAAAGCTTTGAAAATCTCTCCTAAACCATCAATTATTAAATATTAGAGCTTTCTCTTCTATCAAGTTGATTCGTATTGTTAAATATTAATTAGAGCTTTGTCTACCATCAAGTAGATGTTGTATTGTTAAAAACCAATTCAATTTTAATGCATAAATTATTAAGTGAATGTTATTTTATTAATTTTATATTATACTTTTTTAGGAGCAGGATATTATACCTAACTTTTTCATATTTATTCTATCTATTTCTTTCCAACAACATTAAATTAGAAACTCAAGAGGAGAGGAAAAAAAATAAAAATTAATTGAAATTCTGATTTAAAGTGATGAAAGGAGTAAATAAAGTAGGTGAGAAAATATAAAGACAATATCCTATTCCATTTTTTAAACATGTATAGCACAATTTGGATGTCGATGGTTTTTTGTTAATCATTTTCTCTATGAAAATCTTAGATGGTCCCAGATTGCGGCTCGTCTCCCTGGTCGCACAGACAACGAGATCAAGAATTTCTGGAACTCAACGCTGAAGAAAAGACTGAAAATCAATAACTCCACTCCGTCACCAAACAACAGCGACTCATCAGAACCTAGAGATGTTTTGGGTGGGATCATACCCATTAATGAACATGAACTCACAACCATGTGCATGGATTCCACTTCATCAACTTCATCATCATCCATGCAATCCATGCATGCTATGGTTTTAGCTGACCAATATGATCCCTTTTCCTTGTTTTCAAATCGTTATGACATGACCGGTATAGCCGGTTACCCTGACATGCCTGCATGCTTAACCCAAGTTGGTATGGTAGATGGGCTACAAGGTGAATATCGGAAATTGGAGCCTAATAAAATGGGGTTAGAAAGCGACTTTTCTCTTCCTCCACTAGAAAGTAGAAGCATTGAAGACAATATTACCCCAATTGATATGAAAAGCAATAACAACAACTTCAATAATAGTTGCTTCAATAACACTGATCAGATTCAGAACTCCAACGTAGATGATTTGTTTGGGTTTGGAAATCATGGGCAAGGAGAAAACTTAAGAATGGGAGAATGGGACTTCGAGGGTTTGATGCAAGACATATCCTATTTTCCTTCCCTTGATTTCCAAGTTTAAATGCCTTTATGTGAAATTCCCATTCCTCTATCTCTCTCTCTGTGTGTCCCTTATACACATACACACACACAAAAGCAACACCTTAGGAAATTTTGGGCACCCATTTTTCCTTCCAAAATATAGACAAACACAAAAACCTTTTGCTTGTTATATCTTATTCTGTTACTTTTTTTTTTCTGGCTTTACAAAAATTGTTACCCAATTGTCAGTTGTGTTAGATGTAGTTCTGCAATGAAATTGTAGAACGTGTATAGGATGGACCGGGTATTTCTTGCATTGTGAAACACTTGGTGTCATTTTTCGGGAATAGGTTGGTGAAATAATGAAAAGATCATATCATCGAGAGAAATGTGAATAGTGATCATTTGGAAAGTCAAAGTGAAGAATAAAGCTTAGTTGAAATTGTATGTAGCTTTGTGTATAACACAAGGAATAATGTGGAATTGCAAGTTGTTATTTAGTGGCAGTTAATATAGATGTACAAGACGATGTAAACAACCAATAAATATCAACATTGAAATTCATTCACTTCTATCTCTCTCTCTCTTTGTGATTGTTGTGCTTAATTTATTTCATATATAAAGGGAATTGTATGTTAAGGATAATCAATTGTAAATTAAAGCTATGGAAACTCTTACCGGGACGAAGGGGGTGCTATATCATTTGTGTTAGTATTTGAGTGTCCTAGAGACAATCTTATGATTAAATAAAGACAGAGATGTAGACCTTTTTAATATTGTCGCAAATAAATAAAAGCACTCTTTATCTTGTTTCATAATAATGTCTCGATATTAATATTAATATATTATGAATAACTTGATAAACCCCGTGGAATAAAATAGGTATCTCTTGAGTATCTGTGATGAGATCACAATCATGAGGATTCAAGAATACCGGATGTTTATTCCTAATTTTATGTTCCTAGTCTAGAGATACTGAGAATGGGGTCAGTAATCTCGGGTAAGACTAGCACGACTTATCTACTTGTATATGGATGCAAGGTATAGACCTCATGTGCTACAGATATGGAGATGTCTTAGCTAAAGTCGTGGGTGGACCTATAAGGGTATAACTCGCACTGAACGGACCCACAAAGAGACTCTATGAGGAACTCTCACAGAGAGTATCATTAGAGTAGTCTCTTTATATTTGGGTATGTCTTTCCTAAGTCCAGAAGTTATTACCTAGACTGTGTTCTAGAAGGCATGCTTTGATTGTGCACCTCGTCTGCCTGAAACATGGAGACTCATAGGTATATTGTTGGGCTTGTCCTGAAAGAACATAGGGCTAGGATGATAAGCTGAAGGAATTCGTCAAATCTCTGTGAGAGATTAGGTTATCTGTAAACCGGAGAAATCGGGATGACATTTACAGGGACTCGGGAATCTATGCATAGTAAAAGAGATCATGAGATGATCTGCCTTTAGAGTCTGTAAATTGAAGATTCCCTATTTCGAATAAAGCTTACCCTAAACCGCAGGGGTTGATACGCTTCCTTACCCTAGGTTTTATGGGAAGGTAACCGAGACGAAAGGAAATATGTACGGCAACCAAATATGTTTAATAGGATGATCAAATCATTAATCTAACTAGTTCTGGGGCAACAAAGCATTGTTAGTGCTCTGTGTTGTCATTAGATGAGTTGTGGGCTTATTGGGCCCAAGCCCATTTATGTCAGTGGCTAAGTTAGACCTAATGGGTCACACACAAACACCTAATTGTCTAGATGCTCTAGCATTAAAGGTATTGGGCCTAATAATAGTTATTAGCCCAAGAAGTTGTTTGGAACTCCACCTAAAGGGGTGGAGGGCGCGTGGTTCATTGTAATGGGCTTGGATAGTCCAAGACATTACTAATTAATTTAATTAGTTAAATTAATTATCAAACATTTAAATTTTGAATTTTGGAATTTGAAATTTGAATTTTGAAATTTTGAATTTTGAATTTCGAAATTCGAATTTTGAATTTGAAATTTGAAATTTGAAATTTGGATTTTGAATTCGAATTTTAAAATTTGAATTTTGAAATTTGAAAATTTGAATTTTGAATTTGAATGTTTGAACATTTGAATTTGAATGTTTGAATTCAAATATTTGAATTTGAATTTGAATTGCCTATGAAAGGTTGTTTCATAACAAAAGGATAAGATGAGATCTTGTTGGAACAAATCACTAGTATCATGAGAGAATCTTTTGGACAAGATCCAAGGCCATATATGGCGCTGATTTGGGTTGTTGGTGAGCAAGATTTACTCATCAAAATCAGCTCCAGAAGATTCAGTCAGTTGGGAGAAAATCTGAGTGAGTTGATTCAAATTTGAATGCAACTACTCAGATGTATCTGGTCACCTTTTTGGGCTATATGGGGCGCACCATATAGCTGATCTTATGAAGATTTCTGATCAGAATTTTGAATGGGTTTTGAACCAATTCTCAAGAGAATATTCTAGGAGACTGTTAGCAATTTTTGAAATAAAACAGCTCCACTTCTCTCTCTCCAATCTGGCGCCTAATGATCAGATTTTTAGGAGAAAAATCTGATTGGTATTTTATTTTAAATACTCTCCTCTTATGTGCCTAAGTGTTCAGTTGTTCCTCCAAGGGTTTTTCTGAAAACCTAGCCTATTCTCTCCTCTCTCCTGCGCCACTTGTGAAGCTTTCACATTGAGAGCTTCACTCTTTCAAACACTTTCACCTAGCCTCCATCTTCACACATAGAGCGCCTAGCAAGCCTCTTTGTGGTGATCATCCGGTGGCTTCACAAGAAGGAGTTCTTGCACCTAGACGAGTGGGTGGTGTGGGTCAACGTTAGAGGGTCTGAACCCTTCAGACCTGCCTTGATCATCTGGTGATTTCACGAACAAGGTAACATCATGCTTTCCTAAAGCATGATCTTGATGTGCATGTATATTCCGCAAAGAAAAATTTTGTTTTTCCCTCTTGCATGCATCGGCATTCAAGGCCATTTCGAACTTTCAATTTGCACCTTCTATGGAGAATTTGTAATTTACAACCATCGATGATTCTTGACTCAATTATTAACATAGGGAAATGGTCTTGGGTTTGATGTATGCCATGTCTGACTTTGATACGACTAGAAGAGAGACTAACCGTTTGCGTGGAGCACCGTCTTGGGCACGTGACTTCACTTCATGAGATCAACGTGGCAGTACAAAAGGATGCTTTGTAATTCATTGATTGGTAGTTATAGTATTTACATGTAATAGACACACGTGTATATTTGGGATATAAATAAAAGCATAGCTGATGTAAAAAGGGATATACATGAATAAAAAGACAATTCTTCTCTCTGAAACATCCATTTTCTCTCTGTTTTTGTCTCTGCATCCCTAGGTTGCAACATTTGGTGCTTTCATTTCGTGTTCTCAAGATCAAAAGAATGCGGTTGCAAGAGATTAAATATTGATTTTGTGTTGATTTCGTAAGAAAAACAAACAAACTGGAGCTAAAAAGGAAATTGCTAAACTGAAGGCCCACGCTGAGAGCGTGGGTATACTGGTTCTGTTAGTCGGATTAAATGTGTACCGAAAAAGTATCCCGAAAAATTATAATAAGGGCATGATAATTACTAGGATAATATGTAGGATTTGTAAAACGAGTTTCAAGTCAAAATAATGAGAACTGATGCCAGAAACTGATACTGGTTATGAAAAGCGCGTACCGGAAAGGTGCTCTGAAAAATATAATAAAAATATGATAATTCTTGTAAAATTGAGTAGGTTAAGAATCTAAAGTTTGGGATTAAAATGCTAAGCGTAGCAATTAAAGTTAATACTACGTGTTTAATGTTTAAGTGACCTATAAATACTCTTATGAGGGCACAAAACCCTAGACACTCAGATTTCCTACATGAGTTGGGTGGCTGGTCATCTCCTTGTTACTGTTCCATTGCCTTTGTGCTCCATTTGGTGAGCTTTGAAGCTTCCTCTTCCACTTCACTTCATCTATACACTTGGTGTGAGTGAGAACCATCCTTGTGAGTGGGAAAATGGCTTTTTTTCTGTGTAAGGAGGTCAATTTGAGGGAGTGTTGGGTGCTGACTTTGGGTTGGAGAGTGAGTGAACCTTGTGCTTCTCATTTGGAGGTCCAAGGAGCCACTTTTGGTGAGGAAGAGCCTTGTTTGCTTCTCATTTTCGTGGTCTTTGAAGGTTTGAGTTTTGGAGCAGTTGAGAGAGCTCCAAGAGCATCATCTACCTCTGTACTACATGTAGGTATAGACGTATTCCTGCATTTATCTGGCCAGTAGAATAGTTTAAACACACGTGGCATGAATATCTGTTGCACTACATAGTTTTGTAACTTATATTGGTATAAATGCTTTTAGAACTTATATTGCACATATAAGTGAGCTTGGGTGGAAGATCCTTGAGGACCCCTTGTCTTACTTAGATTTCTAGTTTAGAGATCTCACTCCACGTTTGGGGAATGCTTATTTCAGGATCAGGTAATGTGGGGGTTGAGGCCCCAGGCGGCAAGAGGCCGGAGCTGAGTTAGATATTGATGATATTATATGCTGACATGTTGGATGCTGGATATGCTTACTGTTTTTATGTTTTTAGCTTCATTTTATGATTTTAGATTATCTTGTTGAGACTCTGTCGTTTATGCTGTTGATTTGGTGAGCATGGGGATTGTCCATGCCACGTAGACTTGTTATGTCTTGTTTTAGTAGGAGTTGTAATAATGTATCAGGATTATTGTCCGGTTTACGTGATGTAATGTCGTGACTTAGATACTCACTTTATATTTTATATTGAGGTATTTCAGTTAGTTGTCTTGCAATTTACATACAGGCATTATTTTTATGAAATTGATTAAATAATCAACTTGGCTAAGTATAATGACGTCATAATTGAAAAGAAAAAGATATTCCGCAATTTTTAATTAAGCGCAGCTTAATACGATAGTATGATAACATTACCGGGTATACACGGGGTGTTACATTTTATGGTATCAGAGCAACGGTTCAAGGGAAAAGCC